TATAGTAATATTCGAGTCGAACCCTTTGTAAACGTCTTTATGCAATTTCTCGTATGAAGGAATGTGAAATTTGTAATATTTTAAGTTGGTAGTCTTACACAATTAGTATTATAGTTGTTTTGCATTAAATATTTTAAACGATGTCATTTGACTGCCACTTCCTACACACACTTCCTACTGTGCTGACACACACACTTCCTACTGTGCTGACACACACTTCCTACTGTGCTGAGTGTTGTGGCTTCGATCCCCACGTGTGACAACACTTTGTGGAATCTACAAATTGTTGTTCTGAGTCTATGTGTTATGTCCGTTACATGAATGTTTGTAAAATCCCCACGAATGTCTTAGAAGAAAAAGTATATATGATTTATCTTAATGAATATTATAAATATTTTACCTAATTAACTGTTGATAAAGTAGATTTGTGTGCACCTAACATTGCATGCATACTATCTACAAATAAATTTATGCGTGGAATTGAGTAAGTAGACGATATGGTGACGGTATTTCAAACTGATTGTTAGCAGAAATAAACCAATTAGGTTAGTAAGGAAATTTAGTTATCCCTTTTTGGCAGAGGACTGTAGTGTGTTAGTGGTCTTTAACTTGCCGTCATCTATACAAAAAAATACCATACCAAAAAAGAAGAATTTTGCTCATTATTTTAACCTAAAATAAGTTCTTGTCTACAATAACCCTTTAAACAACTGCTGTAAGCTAAAACAAATCCAATGAAAACATTAATCTCTTGCGTAATATAAATAACACAGCTGATGAACAAAAGAAATGTGTAGATAAAATTAATCCAAAGGTAGGTGACGCTGTTAGACAAAGGTAGTTTTAAATTGAAGAATCGTTTACACATGTAATATTCATTAGTTCATTCGGAAGGTAACAAAAATGTCTTAAACAGAGTAAGACTTAATAGTTTAGTATGACCGAGGCTGGTTTATCTATGGTTACAGTTAATCGATAGTTTTTTCTTCATTGTTATAAACAACAGATTTTGAATTAAATACTATGTGTATTGAGTAGTAATGTCAGTCCAATGATTTTCACGTCCTTTGTAACACGCTTTTATTAGCTTGGTTTATATGTATGTACTAGCTTTTGCCCGCGGCTCCGCCCGCGTAAATCTGAAAACTGGCATATGTCTTTCCTCATGAAGCAAAGGCTCTCCAGAGCCAATTTCATCTAAATCAGTTCAGCAGTTTAAGCGTGAAGAGGTAATAGTCAGACAGACAAGACTTTTTGAAATAACGGCTTTTTCTATACCTAAAAATACGGTAGTGTCTTTTGCCACGTACTAAGGCTGTGCTGTGCTGTGCTAAACTACACGTGTGCTGAAGCATATGTGATAAACTTTCTTTTTTCTTCTTATTACTTTTTTAGTCTTAATAAGACAATAATCTTCATTAATTACTGAAAAAGAAAAATAAATTATAGTTTAAAAAAACTAAAAAAACACGCTCTTGTAGCTAGCCGAACTAAAAACTAGGAAATAATTTTCTAAATGTTAAAAAGGAGTAATAGTTACTCTATTTCGTGGATCACATACATTTTTGGGGTGTAGGTATCGAACCCACAACACCTAGCTAAGCGTACAGGCGATACTACCACTTTAATCACTGCAATGATATTTTAAAGGGAAAGAAAATATTCTGGAATATTGTATGATCGAAACAATTATTGTGCTTATGGAAACTGAGAAGATGTAATATGTAACATATGTAATAACTTCTATTATTTACTATAAAAGGAAGTAGTTATCTGTTAAATGAACCACTATGTATATTAAAGCATATATACGTAAGTATAATTACATATTTGGAGCACGAGCTATACACCTACTCGTAAAATGGTCATAATGGAAAAGGGGAGACAAAGAATTGTTGCTTTGTAGCAAAGTCCTTCTGGTCATGAACAAATCGCTGTATATTTAATACTGTGTATGTAACAAAAACTTATCTTAAAATAGGTCAAAGTCGAAGTTCGTCTGACTCATGTTTTGTAAACTACGAGTATTATTCATCTAATACTCTATTTACAATGTAATTCTTATCAATATTTATAAGTGACAACTGCACTTATGTAAGTTTTTTTTTTGCTCACTAACTCAAAATAAGGACCTTTACATAATTGAGTTATTTCTATTTATTTTATATTATTTTATTTATTTGTTTATTGATTTATATAGAGATGTAGCAAATTGAAATATTTCGCCTTATGTTTTGCTGATTAGACGCACGAACGACGAACGAAGCTACTTATATCACATGATAAAAGGAGTCCTAAATTTGCATACCTTAGTTTTGAATATTTTTAATTTAGTTAAACTCAGGAGTCACAAACGCGTTGTCGGCCTTTTAGGAAGGTGTACGCTCTTTTCTTAGAGGTTTGAAGGTCGTATCGGTCCGTAAATACCACAGACGATAACCCGTTCCACAGATTGGTTAAGCGGGGCAAAAAGTGTCTCAAAAAACGGCAGTAATGGAGCGCCAATTATCCAACCAAGATACTTGATGTTCGGGACCAAGGTAAGGGTGAGGTAATCGCAGACGTTGGTGTCTAAATCTACATTATTCAGGCACATATGCGCTTTTACAGTAGTAGTTTCTTTTGAGGGTGAGTTTATACTGGGAAGTGAAAACCTTACGACTTTGGTTTTGTCAACATTAAGTGTCAACAAATTTGCTAAAAGCCATGTCATCACTTGGCGGAGAGACTTCTGTTCTGTGTCTGGCCTTATCCCAGCTGACGTCAAAAACTACTAGTGCAGTATCATCCGCGTACGTAAATACATCAGTATCATACAGTTTGGTAATGTGGTAAGAAGCACAGGTCATTAATGTAAATAAGAAAAAGTGTAGGCCCCAAGACGCTGCCCCGTGGCACTCTGAAATTGATGTTTATGTCATCACTGTACAGAGAATCGATTTTATACACTGTGCGGTTTGACAAAAAGTCTGAAAATTTTTTAGTGACAAACCGCGAATTCCTATATTTTCCATTTTTGGTACCAGTGTATGGATGCTCACGGAGTCAAACTTTGGATAAATGAAGACAAACGCCGAAGCACTTGAAATTTCGATCCAGTTTGACAACGACTGCGTTAGTAAGGCCTAGAACCGCAGTTTCGGTGGACATTCCCCTTCTAAAACCGTGTTGATTATTAGCAATTATTTTATGTTTCTCAAGATAAGAAGTGAGTGAGTTGGTCAAGAAGTTCGCGGAATGGCGGGCATGGTGGGGGAAACGGGCACTTTTTTTACCTGTAGTTTCAGCGGTTTAAGCGTGAAGAGGTAATAGTCAGACAGACAAGAACTTCAGGATTAAAGGCTTTTTCTACACCTAAAAATACGGTAGTGTCTTTGGCAAGTACTAAGGCGTGTGCTGAAGGATATGTGATAATCTTACTTGTTACTTTATTAGTCTTAATATGACAATAGTCTTCATTAATGACTGAAAAAAATATATTATAGTTTAAAAAACCGATAGGCACGTGATTATACACTTCTGCAAAAAATTAAGGAAGCAAAAAAATTGTGAATTTTTCAGTAATTTTTGAAAGCCCATGTTTCTGGAAAATGGTCGCATCAAGCCTCAGGGCCTTCAAAAATCAACAGCTTTTTTTTTGCTCCCTTAATTTTTTACAGGAGTGTAGTTGTAATAAGGAAATAAAACTATGCAAATATTGTCACTGGTTATTTATTATTTTGGTAAACCCAAATTGGAAAATCAGACGTATCAGTCATACATTAATGTTATTGTTTTGCTATACCTACTCCTTTACAATCCTGAGATTCTTGACACTAATGTACGCACACACATTTTATTTATATGAATTTATATTTTTTTAAGCTAATGTAAAGAGATAAACACAAGTATTTAAAAACAGAACAACATACATAACATAGAAAGACAGCAATAAAGGTTTACGAGTAGCCTTAACGTCAAATCGATTAACAAAAATAAATGTTTTTCATTTTGATTTGATTGAAGCAACGACAAGCAACAAGTCAAAATGAAATTACGAATATTTCGTCTTAAAAAAGGTTTTACAAGTATATAACTTGTACAACCTTCTTTATTTAGTAGTATTTGGTAGCGCCTGCGCACTGCAAGTACGAATACGGAGAACGCACTTACATTTTACAACTTTCTCTTATGAGAAGTATTCCAATAATCATTTATTTATAATCTTGTATACCTTCTTGAAGTTACTAAATTTTTACGCAAAAATGATATTAAGAATACTTCAAATACAAGAATCACAGCAACAAGATGTCACAAGTCATGATAATGATTCTGTTCGTCTTACCTCTAAATAATTCCTTCTAAAGGGTCCCTGTCTCCTTATAAGTACAATTAATTATACTATTCAATACTATTATATATAATAACCACCTATAGTAGTTTCCTTCAGCTTTTATCACATTATTAAAATAAGTTACCTATAATAACATCGCATTATAATTTTAATTGCTTAAATTTATTTATATAATAATACTAACTTAAATGATTTTTTTAAACATGATATAGGCAAGTATGGCTCTATTGCGTAGTAAGAAATAGAACAGAAGATTATTTTAAATCATTACAAAGATAGAACGAAATTACAAATTACAGTGATGATGATACATTTAAGTCAGTTATAATTAATTTGATTTCACCTCGCAATGAAATTGAGATAATTAAAACTTACTTGAAGTTCTGCCTGATATTATAACGGAATCACTGACATTTTGTGAAAAAGATGCATTGTAAAAAGGTGTCTTAAATGACACTCGTCTTGTACAATATAGCAAACTGATAAGGAACTTGTTAAATTACAAAATGCGAAGTCCCACTCCAATATAATATCTAATATCCTAAAATGTCATCTCTGATCACAGAAAATAACATATGGAAGAGAATTAGAAGAGCAAAATTAAAATGATAAGATCCTCTACTATTGTTAAATTGTCTATTAAATATTACCATTTTTAGTTGTATATTTATCTCTTATTGAGTCTATACCAAAGAACGGCAGCAGTAAGCACGTGCATCAATACCGCTGTCGATAAAACAAGAGCCATGTTGCCACCGATATCAATATTTTCCATATCCATTTCTTTGAGGAACGTCTTTGGTGTTATATAATGACAATATTCTGAAAAAAAGAAAGGCCGATGTTTGACTGATAGTTTTTTAAAATATTTTTTCTCAATTAAGCTAAGACATCAAGTAATATAAAAATTAAAAATTAACAGGAAAGTATTAGGAGAAATTATTATTCTGTAAAGATTTTGCCTTGAAATACAAAAGCCCAAAATCCTGATTATATTTTCGTAAATTCAGGCTTCTAAATTACTATCTCATTATTATTAAACATTCTCGTTATTTTGAAAAAAATAGTTGTATAGAGTACAAACTAGAATGAGTTATAAATATCGTTAACTTTCTTAGCTAGTTATACTTATAGAAAAAACACAAAAAATATACTTAGATCAGAAATAACTAAGATATATAAACAATGTTTCTAACTCGAATCTATCTTATAACTTTTGTCATTTAAACTAAACCACTTTTTTGACATGATTATTACAGTCTTGTCTAAAAAGTAAACTTATTTAAAGTGTAAAATGTAACCCACCTTTAGAACAATGCATTCTAGTTCTATTGAATCCATATACGGAATGTACTGCAACGTGGAAACCAGCCCTGAAGTACGAAATATGGTGAAGCCAACGGAACGAGTAAGGAGTGTCTACCAATGCAAGGCAGAAACCAAACACGGAGAACAGACACGCTAGCACAGGGCCTATGAATACTGCAATCTGAAAGAAATAATATAGATAATTAATATAGTTTAGAAATAGTTTCGTCGGTATACCTCATAACAAGTTTCTATAGTATAGTATCATTATATCTTTTTGTGTGTCGCTGTCTTAGTTGCAAAAGACTGGACCGCGTTGAGTGTAATATTATATAATGTTTAAATAGTTTTCAGAACAAGTGTCGTATCGTAGAATATCTGGCAAATTTTATGTTAAATTTTGAAGTTCAGATTGACTTGTATTACTTGTGTTATCCGTGTGGTGACGGATTAAGAATACAGAGTGTCACCACCGCTATTCATCCCGTGGGTGTGGTCAGAGCCGACTAAGGGAGTAAGTTACGCTAACTAGCTAACTAACTAACTAAACTAATTAGGACAATAGCACTGCAAAGAGGAGAAAAACCTTAAAATACCAACGAATCTGGCCAGCGTTTTATAGTAGGCCAAAATGTCCTTTCTAAGGAGAGGCCTATGTCCAGCAAAGTCAAAGTCTTTATTGGTAGCAGGGGACTAGTAAAGGCTTGACTTGTTTTTGCTATTGGACCCGGTAGGTTATGGTGCAAAAAAAAAACCAACAACCCAGTTCTCGGTATATTTATTACGCAGCAAGCATGTTTTAGAAATTAATTTATAGTAGCAAAAGATTTAGTTCCTTTTTTCAGATTTTCGTGTTCAAATTTTTATTTTTATTTTCCTTAAACTTATAGTATCCAATTAAATTTTGAAAATATAACAATCATAATTATTTGCTTTTAATAACGTTCGAACAGAACACACTCTATCGGGTCCACTAGTAAACAATAAATTCAATGTAAACCTTGTCTCATCTATTTTTTGTCATTTATATCTAAAAGCAATTTGTTAAGAAAGATTCTTCTGTATCTACAATATTGAGTAAGGCTTGCAATGAAATGATTATCGGTTTAATCCAGAATCAATGCATTGCCAACATTAATCTACTACTAAAATATTTACAAAGAACAGCTATTGTTTTATCTGTTCTTTTTAAATGTTAGCTTGTAGTAAAGGTGATCATACGTTTCTGACTATGAATTTACTAGCATTGATTTAATACAATAAAAATTAGTTTATTGTTAGACGGTGTAAGTTCAGAACTTACTCTGGTAGGCGTTGTGGAGCCGATGAAATATCCCCAGGCTTGTGCACATAAAGATGTAGCAACGATAGTGGCTAAGAATAGCGTTGCTCGAGTCGGCTCTAGCGGGTTTTCCGTCAGCCAGTACGATAGTACTACATAGGAGACGCACGATATCATCTGAAATGCGTGTAACGTTGTAAAATGATAATCTCTGTTAAAAATGTTTGGCCAGAAAAGCATGCGTTTCTAATACAAAAATAGAAGAAACATTTTGACTAGGCGCATAAACAAAATTTATTTAAAGCCTTTTTTAACTACTCATACATCTTGTATTAATAAACGCAATTAAGTTGTTATAACAATTTATAGGTCAAACTAAAATTCTAAAACCTATTTTCTACTAATTTTGTCATGTTCTTCTAAACGACGAAATTAATAAACATGGTCGTGTAAGTTTGAAAGTAAAATTTCATCATGGCACAAATGACAAATGTTGGCATTAAAGTTAAGGGTCATAATACCAAAATGAATAATAATAAAGCCGCGTGGTGTCGTAGGACACCCGATAGTTCCTTATGCTATTTGCCAAATATTTCATCTATAAATGTTGGTTAAGGTATTTAAAAAAAAGGGTATTTTTTTATGTTTAAACAAAAAAGTTAGCTATTGTTGTATTAAGAAATTGAATAACTCGAATATTATTGATTGTGGAGAAACAAGACTAATGTCATTTTATTCTTCATATTTTTTTTCTAAAAATCAAACGCATTATGTCTCGATCACCGATCCATTGTTCTCGAGTTATTAAATAGAAAGGCGCAATGCAAGTAGACGGATTACTTTCTGTCTCTCTCGCTCTGCATTCACTGCCTGCAGCGACTAACGCTTTTTCGTAACGTACACTTTTTCTCGTGAAATCCCTCTCGCCGCATATCCCATTAAAAACTTCGTTCCAAAACCACATTTACTGATTATAATGAGTTGTCGTTCCGTGTACTTGGAATATAGGGAACGAATTAAATTGAAAGCGCAGTAGCAAAGTAATTAGATTACAAAAATAAATTTTAATATCCAACCTGGAATGGTAGCTCGACTGCTAATGTTGATACGATATAGGGTCCAAGGTTATACCATCGATTGAAGTACTCGCCTTTTAATATGTCCATTTCTAAGGGAACTGAAAACAAAATATAGATCTTCTTATACATTTTTTTTGTTTAGATATAATATTTTGGTATAGGTAATCAAAACTGTGTATTAAATAACACTGGACAGCCTATTGCTCTAGTGGTTAGTGACCCTGACTGCAACGCCAGAGGTCGTAGGTTCGATTCCCACTTAGGACAAGTAATTGTGTGATGAGCACGGTCATTTGTCCTGTGTCTGGGTTTACTTTATCTATAATATGTATGTATTTAGAAATATATATGTATGTTTATCAGCGGTCTGGTTATCATAGTGCAGGCTTTGCCTAGTTTGGGATCAGACGGCCTTGTGTGAAATATGTGACAAAAAAAAACAAATTAAGCTATGTCGCTATTTTTATTACGGGATCTTGGTAAAGTATTACTTTGTGTAGCAATGTTAACTCTACACATAAATTCTACTTTGGTATTGATAACTTTTTTAACAGTAAAACAATAAACGACAAACTATGTACTCATATTATTTATTTTTTTTATGAATGTTTGAAGTAAAATATATCGTAGTGATTTCGAATAATTAACAATAATTTTAGAATGAAAAGGATTACGACGTTGATTGCTATAATTTAAAATACACTGAAAGTATTTTTAGTTTAAATTTAATTTAATTTAATTAATTTGGTTAAAATTTATAATAATCGCGAACAAATACAGCTCAAGCTAGATAAATTGACTTACAGGATAAGGTAACAGACATCTTGCCAGTATACACTACGAGAAGCATAGATCCATACAAATAGACGTAGTTGCCAAGCACTGAGTCCGCTTCGCTTCCCACTCCGAGATACAAATAGCCGAAGACTAGTGCTATCACTACATGAGCTGCCACCCGGTACAGGAATAAAGACTGGAAATCAAAATACTAAACTTAAAATACGAAAAACGATAAGAAAAATAATAATTTTATAATTATCTTAAAATTATTCTCTATATTTTTGCAAATATAGTAAAAAAATGTATTTTAAATTAACGAGAACAGCTGATGTTTTATGGCGTGGTCACATTTTGTTCCATATTTGTGAAGATTTCATAGCAGTATTTTATATGGAAATGTTTTGTACCTATGTATGCACTTTAGTATGTTAAATAATTCATTCTCAGAAATTCTCTCTAACTGCATACTATAGGTAAAATTAAATAAAAAAAATTGTCAATAAGTTTCTTTAAATATTCACAAAACCGCATCTTTGGTACTTACATAGTTTCTTGTTGTCATTAAATAGTTTCTGTAGAGTAGAATTCCCGTTTGTCTTAGAAGGCCCGAAGGTCTGTAGATATTTTTGGATATTTTTTTATTTTTGTAGTCCCGATTTGTTATTCCAATGCTGCTAGGTTTAAGAGTAGAGCTGAAATCTGCAAAAGCAAAACAAATAAATAAAACAATGCAAGGCAAGAAAAACCCATGTTTCCAAACAGTGTATCTTGGCTGAAGTAAGAGATTCAAAATTTATACAAAAAAAAAGTCGTGTAATTTTTTATATGTTTACGAAAAGACTGTAACTAAACATATTATAACAACAAATAACTATGTGTCGCAATAGGTAGCTAATTTTTAATAAGTCATTGAATGCAAAATATTGAGCACAATTTATCTGAAGAAGTGCTGTTGGTTGTAAATATGAAGAAACCGGCCAAATATAAACACAAAGTAATGAATAATTCGCGAACATTCTACTACTGATTTGAAATTATTACAGGTCAACGTAAAGTAAATATAATTAAAACGTTTCATAAGCAATAACCTAAATTAGAATACATACCTAAAGGGCCAGGCAATGCCGGTATAGTAGGAATGTGTCTTTCCCAACTTCCATTGCCTTCGGGTTCCGGTTTAAACTGGGTCATCATTTGAGCTGCTTTGATTAAGTCCACACTGTACTCGCCGGATGCAACCTCCATTACTGGAAATATGTTTCGTTTTTCATCTATTTAATTTAGCTAAGTATTTACTTACTTAAAACGAAAGCGTTTAAAAAAGTCAAACCATTTGTTTTGCCTCATTTGAATTTCCTAGTTTTATGAGTATTACTTACTAAACTACATCATATTATTATTATAATTTAACGTGATGCATGCGCATTGGAGTCGGTTATATAATTATATTTATATCCCTACAGTCAACGTTCTTAAATATAGATAATTACGTCCTATCACAATTTATCAAACCGCCAGACCTATGCAACAGTGGCAGCATCTTTGTGCATAGTTAACAATATTTTAAGAAAGAAAATAAAACAAATAATTTTATTATGAAAAAAGTTCAACGACTCGCCCGCTATTTGACTCGTCCTTCAGATCTTGATTTTATCACCACCCTGCATTGTATGTTAATATATGAAAATCAGTTTCTAGTCACTACAGTAAAAGGCGTAAAAACAAAGTTGACGATGAGTTTAAGCCCAATTTTAGCGTTTTTAGAGCTTGTCTAGCATTTAGATAGGCCCAAAATTAATCAAAATTATAAAGTTTTCACGACGTACCTTAAGTTTAGTTAATAAAATAGAAAAAGGCTTCTTGGTACAATGTAAATGTTGTAATTTAGTTAATTGCCTTATTTTTCAAGTTTATTAAGGATTAAAAGAAATATATAGAACAACAATAGTCAAGACCTATAATATGGCAAATATGTTCTCTAGACACAAATTGTTAATTTGCATAAAACATGATGTTTAAATTCTACCAATATATGGCAGTGAACTTCTAGGAACATCATTTTATTTCATTCTAGCATTTCTAAATTCAGTTTTATAAATGTAAAATCATTATAGAATACTTTCATTGGAAATAAAATATACAATTTTACTAAATTATAGAACTTAACTTTTATTTGAAATTCATTGCGTATCAACACTGCGATTGAATTTAAAATATTATACATACGCATACATAATTATTACATGTACGTACATTATTATAATCGCACCTAATTTGTTATTACAATCGTATAGTAACTCGTATAGTAAGTACTATTGTTATAAATAACGAAAATAGAGCCGCGCAGCCCATTACCTCTAAAAATTTCATTTCAGGTTGAATTTTTTTTTTGTATTTAGTTTTTGCTTTACCAAAAAGTCATATATGTCTGACGCGTCTTCCCACCTGCACGATGCCAAGATTCTTAGCGTAGCGCTGTCTTTAATTTTTAATGTTTTAATTTTAATTTACATTCTTGAAGCAGCTAAAAATACATTTATTCGGGCCTGTTGGTCTAGTGGTGTTCAGTTTTTCCTTCTCCTCAACTGGTTTCGATGGTGGCCGAAGGGGGTTAGTGACCCTGACCGCTAAGCCGAATGTCGTGGGTTAGATTTCCACCCAGGGCATATATTTGTGTGATGTGCACAATCATTTGTTTTATGTCTGGGTGTAGTTTACCTATGATATATGTACTTGTATGTATTTAGAAGTATTTAAGTATGTTTATCAGCAGTCTGGTTATCATTGTTTAGGCTCTGCCTAGTTTGGGATCAGACAGCCGTGTGTCTGATGAATGTGTGAAGTTATTATTACTATTTAATACCTCATACCAATACCTCATTTATAAGGAGACCTATCCAGCAGTGGACTATTAAAGGCTGTTGATGATTGATGAAATAAATAAAATTTAATATTTCAGTGAAAGGGTGTCACAGATTTATATCAATTTTAATGCCCATTGTATTTTTCTGACTTTTTCTCCATTGAAATGAATTATCGCATTAAAAATATAAATGTAGAAATGTTATATAGGTATTTATTTGGGTTTTTATTTATGTGTACCTAGTACTTACCATTTATTGTATTAATATAAACCTTTGTTGTTTTATATTATATTTTTATATTAAAGAAAATAATGATTTATTTTTCACATACAAGTGCCATCACACGAAGTTTTCCAATGATCGATTCGCAATAAGGATAAGGTCTTTAGATATTTAGAATTCATAAGGACAAACAATATGTAGTACATTTTAATTTTCTTGGTATATTCGCTTTATTGTGAACTTGTGGTGTGCACAAAAGCACTACCTTCAGTCTTGCTTTTAAAACCTATGATACAAAGGGACATAAAAAAATATTGAAAATAGAAACAGGAACACACTGTCATGAATGCGTGAAGTGACCATGGCGGGGACCACGTGTCTTCTTACTGTTAAAATGAATTTGCATACGTTTATAACAATAATCAGCGAGAATGGTTTTACCCTAATACAGCTTAATACACTACTTAGTTTCGTAGCACAGTCTTTAATATATTTTGATGTATGCAAAATAATGTTCTCATCTAAACTAAAGAGTATAGCTTTATAAAATGTGATTTCAAGTCTACTTTCACTATGAGGAAGCTACATTAACCAGAAGTAGCTATCGTAGGGTAGGTATTTTTTATGTTGTCACAATAGTAGGTAAATAACTTCACATATGAAGAAGTTCTGTAATTACTGCAGTAAACATAAATTGTAACTGTAACTTCCTAAAATACCTTTATTTTTTAAAAGCCGTGTATTTGAACTATTTTTCATGTACGGTGTACGGTACGAGTCCGGGACAGGACGATACTCTCTAATTATAAAATTTTCGCTGCGAATGCCAGGTTTTATATTTTATGTATTTTTAATTTTTTGTTATTCTTTTGCACTTAAAGTAATCACTCATCATTCTGTTAAACTTGTTTCTACTTCGAACATCACAAAAAATATCAACACGCAGCGAATTGAATGCAGATTAGTTTAGGTGCAAACAACAAAAAAGTACCCATTTGGAATCTGTCAGGCGCAGCGATGAAGCATAATTTATTTAGCCTTTATAATTTTGATAGAAATTTAATGACTATATAATTACTTTTTCATACCAGAATTAAGTAACCGCAACTCGTAGGAGTGAACCTATTTAACCTATGCAAACACGACCAAGCCAAGTATTTTATTGCAGGTTTCACATTCTTTAACTAAAACATAATGGGCTTATGAATCTTTATAATGTAACTTTAAATTATTATTTTTTACAATTCTAGTCGGTACACACTCATAGAAGTATCGTGTAATCGTTTTATTAAACATGTATTTCAAAAATAACTCATTAATGTGAATCGGAAAAAGAATATTTGGTTTTCTATTAAAGACTATATTTATCCCAGATACTCATACATTAAGTGTAAATACATCCTCTTGCTAACCCGAATGTACGGTTTTTCCATTGTTGAAACACACTATGAAATTAATAAATCATCTTTACTTTTCCTGTGCACGAGAGAGTACAAAAACTAGTTTTGCTTTGCAAAACATGATGGTAGTGTCATTAGGTAGTCAAGTTCTGGTTTATCCATTCAACAGATTTACCTTGTATATTTTTTGACAGGTGATTCATTTAAAAGATTTTGCTGTTCATTTTCCCAACCATTTTACCATATAAAAGAAATGTTTCTATAACCTTTCTATAAAATAATAAAAACCTTTCTATTTATAAGAATTATGAATTTAAAATAACTTAAAATAACAAGTATAGTCAGCTTTAAGAATAACGCTCTGAAAAATTAATCGTTTACGTAATCAGTATGGTAAACAATATACTCACGGAAATCAGCCGGATTATGATAAGGCGGACATGTCAGACCAGCACTAGCCAATGCTGGTATCAAACTTGCTCTCGGTCCAGAATACAAAGTTCTTCCTTCTTCCAAACAGTATACCGTGTCAATTTTTTCAAAAAGTAATGCGGAAGGTTGGTGTATAGTTGCTACAAGTGTTCTTCCACCTCGGGCCAGGTTATTTAGTAAAGTGATGAGAGATGCCGATGCTGACGAGTCTAAGCCACTGTAAAAAGAGCACAATTAAGTATTTCATGCACTTTGAATTACCTCTCACACATTTTTCATTCTTGGTCACAGTTTAAAATTGAAGTAAATTGTTACTTTTTATTAGGAAATCAAGAAATTTCATGTTCTAAACTATGTAGTTTGAATCATGTATCATCCTTTTTATGGGAACTAAATATAAAACGTCGCCTCTCCTTGAGTGTTCCCCAACCTCTAAGCATTCCTAAAGATGAAAATTGTGTCAGAATAATGTATACATTACAAGTTTATAGTTAGTACTCGGAATACTTGAACAACAATAACCCGACAAAAAGTTTAAAAATAATTACATACGTATTGTGTGATTTAGTGATAGACAAGTGGTTCATAAACATAAATACATCGACGCTTTTACTCAATAGTTTTTATGTGAAGTAACGCATGTTATCAACACGTGACTCCTATCTTGTGTTATATGCGAATGTGAGTGTTTGTTTGTTTGTGGTATTTCATACAAATTAACAACTCAATCGATCATCAGGGATTTAACGTGGAAGAAGCTCGACCGGAGTGTCACCACGTTATCACAGAAAACCAGAGTGAGTCAGGTTAACAGAGCCTAAACCACACTCACTCCCACTGGTTCTTGGGGAGAGGACTCAAAGGGTTGTGATTCTTGAGTTGCCATGGGTCTCCATGTGGTGGCGGTAATCACTTACTATCAAGTGAACTGCTCGTTTGTTCCCTATGTAACGTACCTGTCAAGAATAAAAAATTGTTCTATTCCTGGTCTGTTTTCGGGTGCCACCTGAATAATTTGACGGAAGCTACGAGTGAAGTTACGATGCCTAATATTTTATAAGTATCGAAAAATCAAATCTAACAGAGTGTTTCTTCTTTCTTTGGGACCTAAATTCACAGTGCTGTTTAGTCGAAGAGTATGTGAGGCAGTATAATTTTACTGTCTATATGTTACGAGAACTATTTGCGCACTTAAGCACTTACATAAATAACGATTATTTTTTGACAGAATAACAAAAATAATCATGTTTTCATTCACATGTTGACTATGTTGCCCTTTGAATTCCTCATGTTTTAAGTACTTGAACATAATTTACCACGGAAAAACTTATTTTGCCCATGATCGCAATCAGGACACCATGTAAATGCGTTTAAATCATACCTGACATAGTTGATAATGTTATACAATATGCCATTGTTTGGCAAAACAAATGAGGAACGAGCGTATCTTATCTCAAGATCTGATCAATGGTGATGTCATATCGTTACTTACGTAGTAGGCTCGTCCAGAAACAAGAGTGAAGGGTCAGAGAGCAACTCCAAGGCTACTGCTAGACGTCTTTTTTGACCACCTGATAAGTCTCGACAGAGAGTTTGCGCAGTTGCACTTAATCCCAGCAGTGCTAAAATTTCATAAACCTGAACAAAAATAGTAGGTAAAATTAAAAAATCTGGACAAAATTGCACGGGTGAGCTAGTAATGTATACTTATTTAGAACCTATAATATTTTGAATATCCAAGAGAGGTTTATAAAACTAAAAGAATGTGCCACATTGTTTAAAATACGTTAATCAAAGGTTTTTGAAAGTTAGTAGTGGTACTAGGTAATTAATATAAATGTTTCTAAATGTACAAAAAACCGTTTAATTGACCCTCTCCACTATCATGTTTCACCAAATTTCATTACATGGATTTAAATCCATATAGTTTTTATAAATATAGATCGTCAACAAAATTCAAATCTGCAAGATTTCTTGCTTTTATGTTGGTTAACTCTAGAATAATTGTTCCTAGAAGAATCTTTTTTTTCATCGCCGTGCAAAATAATTTCACTTGTAGCAATTGACAATTCAATATTGAACAATACTTGAAGCTGTGTTACTATATACTTAAACAAACAATTGTTTTACACACAGGAAACAAGTCAGTTTTAAATAAAAAGAAGAAGATGTTAGGTACCTTTTCTTTTCGGTCGGAAGCCCGAAAGTCAGCCAGCTTGAGCGCAGCAGCAAGAGACATAGCTTCGTACACAGTAAGATGCACGCGCAGATCGTCCTGTTGTCTAATATAGCGTGCACCACCGCGACCTGCAGCTTTTGACGCGCAAGCGCAGTTGCCGTTCACTGAGATTTCACCTTTTGCACCTCGTGTTCTGAGGATATTTCGAAATACCTTCAATTATAGTGTGTAATCAGATAAGCGTGTTTCGGATGTTCTTCTACATTCTTACTATGTAAATTATTCTACTTAAAAGAATCCTATAATTCACTATCTCTCCTTAACATTGTTCGGCAAGCAAGGTTAGCGAGAAATTATTGGGATTTTTTTTAACAGTAAATGAAGTATTTACAACTTTTCTATATTTTGTTTCATCTTGTGGCATCTTTTCAATTGTTTATATATCTTACTATTGTTACTTGTTTTAGTTTCATATATAAAGGTGTATTATGGCCTTTTACAGATTACCTTACTTTTATTCATGTAATAGACAGAGATATAAAAAAGTGAACTTGGATAAGCCTTTACTGTCTTATTTTTATTTGATTTTCGTGACAAAGTATACTACAAAGTAACTGTCTATTGTTTTATTTAACGATATGGTTTTAGATATTGTGTTTTGTTTGCGTTTTTCAAACAATAGTATGCAAATAGGTTAACTTGATTGTAATGTCAAGATGGTGGTCAGTATAGTCAGATGGTTAACATTAATGCCAAGTAGCAATATGGTCACATACATGCGACTAATATAAATCTAAAATATTTATTCATGAGCTCAGTTCCCTAGCCGTGTATAACGTTTTAACAGTTTCAAAATTCAAAGTGCAGCAATGCGACTTTACATTATAGGTTGCACCTGAATACAATTGTTTTTAGGTTATGACGAATAATACATATTTAGCGGTTAAAAAAAGCGGTCGCTTTTTTGGTTTGGCACAGCTGCCTTGACACAGAATTTTATCACTTTTAGTGATTAGAGCATATATGTTATAACGAATGGCTGATGTTCTTGCTGTCACTGTGATATCATTCTTTCTCAATTTTTTTTTGCAATTAATGCTCATATTGTCAAACAGTATTTTACTAGTATGTCGGTAAAGTTGAATTTTAGCCAGTAAATATATATGGTATTTCTGATAATTAAAATTGGTATTGGGATTTCAAATATCTGTAAGAACTGACAAGTGCAAGCTAGATGCGGGCGGGAGGATCTAGCTGTGGTTACATCTGACACTTTCATCATCATCAACAGCCTTAAACAGTCCCCTGCTGGACATAGGTCTCTCCTTAGAAATGAGGTTTTGGCCTACTATGCCACGCTGGCCAGACGGGTTGGTATAGGGTTTGTGTCAAGTTGGGGTGCTAGGCTAGAAAACCTCCCCGTGGTGCACCCTGGAAACGCTGGCGATGGCACGGTTTCCTCCTTGTCTTCTTGGAGGAGATGATTATCGCCAGCAGCTAATATTCTAGTAGAAGAGGTAGCCGTTCATCGGCTCTCGGGCAAGGCCTGGTCCAGCAGGGCGGGCGTGTCTGCCGGTTGCCCTGCTGGCTCTTCGCTCTTCGGAGCATGGAGGAGGAAACCTCGGTAAAAAACCAGAAGGTGGGGCCCTATAGGGGCCAGTTTCTCCGCTGGAGAAAGGAGGACGGGCTCGGCGTGTATTGACACTACCACCGAGCAGGCAGGGGGACGTAGTCTCCTTGTCACCGTCGGCATATCGTAATCCCGAGAAGAGCGCTGTGGTCAAGTCTCGCGGCTCTGATCGGGGACGAGGGTCTTGGCTTAACCGCCCGGACCGCGAGGATGTAAACCTCTCTAAAAAATTCCCCGAATCCCGTGTTCTGGTGCGTGGCCAGGGGATGCATGGCTGATGGGTAGTTCAGTCGTAAGCGCAATCCCAGCCGGGGCACTTGCGGACCCCTCGGTTGGGCATAAATTTACGCTTACCCGGGTATTGGGGGATCTCTGCCCGGGTGGACCTTTAGTTCTCCCCCACTCGTGGGTATAACATGGAAAATGATAATGGAAATAAAAGTAAAGGATCGATAAATACAACAACAAAAAAGGCGAGCACAACGGAAAAAGGAACGGTGGGCAACAAGGAGGTGAAGAAGACTGGTGGAGTGGATCTGTCGTCCACACCCACAAGTGAGGTAGTGTCTGGAGCGCCTATCTCGGTGGGGCTCCCAGTAGTCAGACTGGAGCGTCTTCGCTCCAGGTCGGTTGCTTCAGCAGACGGTGGCTCCAGTGTGACGATTGACGCACTGGACGCTATTGAGGCTGAACTCCGTGACACTGGGAGCCGCAAGCGTGGACGCTCTGGAGAGGAGGGTGTTGACCCCTCGCAGGATATGCTGCCACCTAAGGTGGCCGGCAGCCAGCGAGGACGGTCACGGACGCCGATCGCGAGGTCGCGTGCCCCTGTCCCCATCCCGTCGGGCTCCGCCTTCTCTGGGGCGGAGTCATACAGGCGGGTCCGAGCGGAAGGAGAAGCCGTAGCGGAGGAGGAGATCGCAGATCTCCTTCTTAGGATTCGGGAGCCGACGGAGGGAGATGCCTCCCGGGCTCCAGTGTCTGTACAGGAGAGGGCAAGAGCGGCGGTGGACATTATTAAAAAGGTGGCCACCAAGTCCGTGAACCTTAAGGGCTCCTTTGTGAGGGCCCTTAAGGACTCCTCCTCCGCTGTGTCGGAGGTCGTGGAGGACCTGACAGGCGAGATGTCTCGCCTGCAGGCCGCCAACGAGAGGCTGACGGAGCGGGTGAACGAGCTGAGCGCTCAGTTCGCCCGCTTCCAGACGAACCTCCCCGAGCGGGAGGCCTGAAGGCGAGACTGCCCCCTGCGCCGGTCGTGCGCCCCCCGCTCGCGTCGTCGCAGCGGCCTAAGGCCGCTGCTCCGACTGCGCTCCCCGTAGTGGGAGGCCGCGTGTCCTACGCGGCGGCGGCGTCGGCCCCGACTCCACCGGCTCCCCAGGGGCAGAGGAGAGGGGCCAAGGCACCGGCCCAGGCGCCAGTCAAGGCCCCGGCCCAGGCACCGGCCAAGGCGCCGGCCAAGGCGCCGGCCCAGGTGCCGGACAAGACGAGGCCTAAAGCGCCGAAGAGGAGCGGAGTGGCTTTCCCTCCGCTCCCCGCTCCGACATCCCTGCCGGGCCCCTCCGCACCTGCCCCCTCCAACGAGGGTTGGCAGGAGGCGAGGGGCTCAAAGAAGTCCCGAAGGCGGGCTAGAAGGGCTGCTCAGAAAGCAGCCCAAGCCCAGCCTTCGCCTCCGGTGGCAACGGCCTCAAAAAAGAGGCCGCGGAAGCTGCAGCCGCCCAAAACCGCGGCTGTAGTAGTGACGCTGTCGCCGGAGGCGGCCAGTGGCGGGCTCACGTATGCGGCCCTCTTCAAGGGGGCCCGGCCCGGTCTCGCCACTGAGTTCGGGGAGGCGGGGATGAGGCTGCGCCGCGCCCAGACGGGAGCTCGGGTTTTCGAGTTCCCTGGGGCGGAAGGCGCGGCGACGGCCGACAAATTCGCCGAGAAGTTGCGGGGAATTTTCGCCGCCACGGACGGTGTTAAGATCGCCAGGCCCACCAAATGCGCGGAACTGCGCATCTCGGGCCTGGACGACTCCATAACGTCGGAGGATGTCTGCGATGCAGTCATGGAGAAGACTGGGTGCACCGCGGACACCATCAGAGTCGGCACCGTCCGTCCGGGTCCGGGAGGCCTCGGTGCGGTGTGGGTGAGTTGTCCCGTGGCGGCGGCCAAAGCGTTGGGCGACGCCGGAAGCATGCTCGTCGGCTTCGTGAATGCCAGAATCACGGTTCTGGCCGCGAGGCCGATGAGGTGCTTCAAGTGCCTAGCCGCAGGACACACTCGCACCAAGTGCGAGAGTTGCTTTGACTGCAGCGGTTTATGCTTCCGCTGCGGTCAACCCGGGCACAAGGCGGCAGAGTGCTCTGCTGCCCCTCACTGCCCCGTGTGTGCGGCGGCTAAAAAGCCCGCCAATCACCAGATGGGGCAGGGGGGCTGCAAGCCTCCCCGCGCTTCTCGGCAAACGCCGGGGTCTAGCCTGCCGACCCAGGCTACCCCCGACGTCAATATTGCGTCGACGCCGACGCCCATGGAGGAGGTTGTAGAGACGATCCAGTAATGGATCAAGTCTTCAACCTCCTGGTCCAGACGAATCTGAACCACTGTGCTGCGGCGCAGGATCTCTTCCTGCAAACCATGGCACAGTGGTCGATAGGTGTTGCCGTAGTCGCGGAGCCCTATTTTGTCCCTCCCCGTCCAAACTGGATGGGTGACCGGGACGGCTCCGTGGCAGTAGTCGGCTCCACGGCGGCTCATTCCCCGCCCTTGTCGCTAAGAGACAAGGGTACTGGATATGTTGCCGCCGCTTGGGGGGGAATCACCATTTATGGTGTATATTTCTCCCCCAACCGGAGTTTGAACGACTTCGAGGTCTTCCTTAACAACTTGGAGGCCTCGATGCGGCGACTAGTGTCTGGGCACGTCCTCGTGCTGGGGGACTTCAACGCAAAGTCCATTGCGTGGGGTTCCCCTGCGACGGACGCCAGGGGCGAAGCCGTCGAGGAGTGGGCGGCGTCGGTGGGCCTCTGTTTGCTGAACAGAGGCTCCACCAACACGTGCGTGCGACAGCAGGGGGGGTCGATAGTGGACCTTTTGTTCGCTACCCCTGCAGTCGCCGCACGAGTAAGGAACTGGTGTGTCCTGGAAGAGGTCGAGACGCTTTCGGATCATTTGTACATCCGATTCGAGCTCTCCCGGTCCCAGGACCCCAGTAGGGGTCACGCGGCGCGGCGCCCTTCCCGCTTCCCGCGGTGGGCTGTCGCCAAGCTCGACAGGGACCTACTAGAGGAGGCGGCCATTATTCACTCTTGGCTGTCTCCGCAGGCCCCGACCGAGGAGGTCGACATGGGGGCTGGTCGCTTCTGCCATGCGATTACGCAGATTTGCGATGCGGCCATGCCCCGCGTTCGTGGTTGTCGGCCTCCAAGGAAGGAGGTCTACTGGTGGTCCCAGGAGTTGGCGGACCTCCGTGCGGCCTGTGTACGTGCCCGGAGGTCCCTCACCCGTAGTCGGCGACGTCACCGCGGGGTCGGTGAGGAGGTGGACCGGCTTCATGAGGAGTACCGAGAAGCTCGGAAAACTCTGAGGCTGGCCATCTGCCGCGCCAAGGATGTGAGTAGAGAGGAGATGCTGGAGAGTCTTGAGCGTGACCCCTGGGGTCGCCCTTATCGTGCGGTGCGTCAAAAGCTCCGCACGTCGGGCCCCCCCCCTTACGGAGACTCTCCAGCCCAGCTTCCTGCAGGAAGTGGTCGAGGGCCTATTCCCGCTGCGGGCGGAGCACACACCCCCGTCGATGGCTGCATCAGCCGGAGACGACGGGGGCAGCGAGGTCGATGTTCCGCCCGTCAGGGAATCAGAGTTGGGGGCGGCTGTTCTACGGATTCGATCCAAGAACACCGCCCCCGGGCCGGACGGGGTTCCAGCCCGAGTGATGGCCCGAGCCCTCGACTACATGTCGGACCACCTCAGGGGGGTGTTGGACGCTAGCCTGGCGTCCGGACGCTTCCCTGAGCGCTGGAAATGCGGGAAGCTGGTCCTGCTGCAGAAGCCGGGACGGCCTGCCGAATCGGTCGCGGCCTATAGGTATATCGTGTTGCTGGACGAGGCGGGCAAACTTTTTGAGAGGGTGCTCTCTGCCCGCATCGTCCGGCACCTTTGCGAGGTTGGCCCCGATCTGTCGGACGCCCAATTCGGTTTCCGAGAGGGGCGTTCGACGATCGATGCCGTAATGCGCCTTAGGGCCGTGACCGAGGAGGCCGTGAGCTGCGGCGGAGTGGTGTTGGCGGTGTCCTTGGACATCGCCAACGCCTTCAATAGTCTGCCATTCAGCTGCATCAGGGAAGCGCTCCGCTACCACGGAGTGCCGGAGTACCTGAGGCGGCTGGTGGCAGACTATCTTGAGGAGCGAACCGTCATGTACGAGGACCGAGATGGCGTCTTGAGACGCAGGGCCATGTCGTGTGGTGTTCCGCAGGGGTCTGTCCTAGGACCTCTCCTGTGGAACATCGGGTACGACTGGGCCCTACGAGGGCGTCTCCCCCACGGGCTGGGTGTAATCTGCTACGCGGACGACACCTTACTTACGGCCCGGGGGGCTAACTTCCAGGAGGCGGCGCGCCTGGCCGCCACGGGAGTTTCCCAGGTGGTCAGGCGCATTGAGGCGTTGGGATTACGGGTGGCCCTGGATAAGACGGAGGCCCTATTATTTCATGGGCCCCGTCGTGGTCCGCCCGCCGGCGCCTCAATCGAGGTCGGCTCGGTCCTCGTACCGGTCCGGGCCCAGATGAGGTACCTGGGTCTGGTCCTAGACGCTCCATGGCCGGTAGCGACAGTTGTTTTACCGCGGTCGCAACCTTCTGCGAGGAAGTAATCTCGCAGAAGGAGGCGGCGGAGAAGACGGCGAAGAGACCCGATCCGCCGCCGGCGAACCGGGCGGCGGAGGCGCGCCTATCACCGCCTCATGCCGCCTGTGGCCGCGGGTGGACAGAGTGGGTTTCCCCTCCACCCGTATTAGTTTGGCCAGCCGCGAGGGGGCGGCGTCCGCGTGTGCCGGACGTCGCCTAAAGAGAGGAAAAAAAATTCTGAGACGGAGCCCGCACCAGGAGCGGGCAGGCGCTAGGAGGGGTCCGGATGTCTTAATAACAGCTGTTCCCGGATCCCTCCTATTACAGGCGCAGAGTGGCACACCGTGTGGTTTTAGTCGGTCCGAGTCCGACACACCACCCCGCCGCAAACCCCGGTGGGGTGACGGTCCGAGGGGATTTTCACACGTTAAAAAAAAAAAAAAAAAAAAAGGGTTTGTGTCAAGTTTTCCTTCTCTTTGCAGTGATGTTGTTCTACGTAGTTTGCTCCCTTAGTCGGCTCTTACGACACCCACGTGATCACCACACGGACACTTTTGACACTTTGATAAATAGGAATTATAATTTCACACCCATATTGAACACCCGGTTAAACACTCTAGTTCTACATTAACTCTAGTTTTACATTAATAAATTTAAAATAATTGTTTTATACCTATTAATGTACTAAAACTCAAGCTACAAGATATTTAACTACCTACTCACAGAATTCACAAAACCCCTAGTTGAGATAAAATAAATCAATTGTATTTTAAGAATTGTAAATGCAATTGATTTGTACCAAATATTACTTTCTACTTGTATACAAGAAAAAGTCGATGAAAGATTTAAAGTGAGAAAAGCTTTAGGGTCTTACGAGTATCCAGCAAGAATGTTGAGGAGCGTAGTTTTGCCAGCTCCGGATGGACCCATGATGGCTGTAAGTCCGGGCTTGAAACATCCTGATACACCTTTTAAAATCTGCTTTGTTTCTGAAATAAATAAATCTAAGATTAGAAAACAAAAACTTAACAACATATTTCAACTGTTAGGTTTTATAAATTATATCAAACGATTATTAGTATTTGTCTTTAAAAATCGATTTGATTCGTTTAACTGGCAACACTTCGGTTTTCTTGAGAAATGTAATGGCTGTTAAGGCACTTTTTGGGGAGCTAGCATCAAAGACGGACATCTTGGTAAGTACGCATTGAATTCTGTACGAAAGAATAAAACATTACTTGTTCTGTTTGACTATTTGTTCTGTCCATTGAAATATGCAGGAAGCCAAGTGACTCTTGATTAAATGCTTATTGAAGGTAATATTGGAACCATTGCTTAGTCTAGGTCGCAATGTCAACTATTTATTGTGAGGGTAATATCGAAATATATATTTATAATTCTGTCTTATTGTTGTTTTACTACAATTCAGAAGTGGGATGAGTCCACTGGAGTACTAAAATAGTGCTAAAATATTTAGAAATAACAAGGAATGCAGGTTAAGTGTGGGTAGATCTCCAATCAGGTGGGTGAAGTGCTGTTGTTTTAGTTTCTTTCTGTAAGTCGTTTAGTAATTCATAATCATACTAGTTTAGACTCTCTCATGTTGAATGAACTGAAAGGTGAAGGTTGTTTTAGTTAGGCCATGAAATTACCTGTATTTAGGAGTAACGCGGACTTCTCTATCAATAGTGTTAAAACTTAGTGAATAGAAATTTACTATTTCTGGATAAAAAAAAAACAAAAGTAATAAGCGAAGATAACAAACATTATTAGGGTTAGTCTTTCTTTTGTGCGTGAAAATGCTATACATACTCGTGTGATGAAAGGTAAAGGGAGTAGTTCAAAGCAGTGGATAGTGAGGTACAAGCTTGTCAACACTTGACTTGATTCTGTTGCGTATTTTGGGGTAAAGGGTAAAATATGTGTAACGATGTCAAAGTTAGTTTTAGAATCTAACCGTTGAGTCTACGGTGCCATGTACATACGGGTGACGAAATTACATTATTTCAAAAGTTTGAAATATGATTTCAACCGGTTTACTTTAAAATGTGACGTTAAGGAAAGGATACATTAAATATGTTTTCGAGTTTCAGATAATGTCACGTGATGATAAGGCCGCGCAAAGGCGGTTAGAAACGCCGGAAAGACAGGCGGTATCCTGTCGCAGTGCTGGAAGACGCAGTCGCAGTCGCGCTCGTTCGGAAAGTCATAGTTACCGCAGTAGGAGCCGTCTGAGTAGTTCCGAAAGAGGGCGAACGCAAGATCAGGCCCTCGACGAGGAAGTGAAGAGACAGCGCCAACGAATTCATGAACTCGAGGGTGGGCTGCAGCGACAGCGTAATATGAATGACAACATGGGCAACGTCCGCGACAGGAGTATGGAGCAAGATCGTCGCCCAGAGATGCGACGCTCGCAACGTGTGCAGCAGGACGAGCTACGTGCGTCGGCAGCCAGACGGGATATCAGGTCGGTTAGTCCGCTATTTATATCAAAGGATGTTGCGAATATTGTTAACTCCTTGAATTCTCTAAAACCTAAACCTCAGCCGTCACCAGTTACAACTTTATCACATTCTAATAGTCATATAAACCAGAAAAATATTCTTCCTGAATTTGATCCTTCTTCAAAGGTTCAAAGGATTGATGTATGGATAAAGAAGGTTAACGAATGCGCCACTGTTTACGGCTGGGATGAAAAGACAGTTATACATTTTGCTATGCAAAAACTCCAAGGATTGGCCAAACTTTGGTACGAAAGTTTAAATTCGATATTGTTTAGCTGGGCCGAATGGCAACATAAATTGTTGATTGCTTTCCCCTTCGAACAAAATTATGGCCAATCTTTGGAGGCCATGCTTAGACGGAAGACTAGACTCAATGAACCTCTGGAAATGTATTATTACGAAAAACTAGCACTATTGAACCAATGTGACATCGATGGCAAGCGTGCGGTGGATTGTATTATTCACGGACTAACTGACAAAACTATAAGGTCCAGCGCTAATGCATTGCGCTGTTCGCGGCCAGATCAACTTCTTAATTTCCTCATGAGTAATAGGGACGTCTCGCAACATTCAGATAATAATTTCAAAATAGGTCCCTTGTAGACGGTTTCACGAAATTTACATTCATTAGGCCGGTTCGTAACACAAAAACACAGTCCACATTACAAGTATTGGAAGAAATATTCTATACATTTAGGAATCCCGATCGTATTATCAGTGACCGCGGTACTAGTTTTACGTCTTATGCGTTTAAACAGTTTTGTGCGGATAAGGGCATACGACATATTCTTAATGCGGTCGCTAGCCCAAGATCCAACGGACAAGTTGAAAGATGTAATCGTACAATCCTTGCTTCATTAACGGCGCAAAATCTAAATTTCGACGAAAGAGACTGGGATGATAAGGTAGGTAGAGTCCAATGGGGTATTAATAAGACTCCTCATAAGACCACGGGTAGGACGCCGACAGAAGTAATGTTTGGACCAAAAATGAACTCTGAGATTAATCCTAAATTGAATGACGTAGTACGCGAAGCTCGAGAAAATATTGATTTAGTTGATATTCGGACATCTGTGAAAGATAAAATCGACGAAGAACAACAAAAGCAAAAATTATATTATGATAGAAATCGACGGCCTGCGCGTGTCTATAATGAAGGAGACTTAGTTAAAATCACGAGAACCTCGTTTAATAACGACGGAAAAAGCAAAAGGCTTATTCCGTCATACATTGGGCCTTATCGAGTGGTTGCCGTCGTAGGGAATGACCGTTATAGGATTGCCGCTATACCCGGACTAAGTAGCACTAAAAACAATCGCAAAACCACCGTAGCTTCCGATCGAATGTTGCCTTGGGTTCATGTTGCTGCCTTGAAGGTAAACGAGGACGTTGACAGTGATGATACCGATAGCAATGACAATGATCATGAAACGATGTAAACATTATATTCGTATGCTTATATCAGTTATTGTGATTCGATATATGTTAGGAGTGATTTATGTACATTATTAATTCATACATGGTCATGTAGAAGTAAATTATTTAGTTTGGCAATACGAATATAATACCTCATATTTTAACTGTATGTGTGAGCTAGATGAGTGTAAGCTATCAAATGACGTGCCGTCATAATTGATGTTGTGTTATTCTTGCAATTTGTGTATTAAACGATACTGATACATATGTATGTTTGTGTAGAATAAACAGCTGTGTAAAACTTATGTATTTCCAACAAGGTCGTTAGGACTATGCGGTTGTAGTGTTTTGGAATATATACACAAATGAACCGGGGTATTATAATTAAATACATTATTATACAATTGTAATAGCTATTCATCTGAAACAAGAAATATGATTATAAAATCTGTGCGTGTTGTTTATAAATTGTTTATAAATAAGATATACCTTAGTCGCCATGGTCTGTAGAAATGAAGGGCTGATAGACCATGACTGCTAACGACTGTGTTGCTGTTGGTGAGACAGGAATTGCTCACGAGCAACATAGCCGAAGGTTGTAAATGAGATGTTACTCTTGTGAGGTGGGACCACAAGATTGGTTATAAGTAGATATTCCTTAGTAATTATGGTCTGTAGAAATGAAGGGCTCATAGACCATAATTGCTTAACGACTATGTTGCTGTTGGTGAGACAGGAATTGCTCACGAGCAACATAGCCGAAGGTTGAAATGAGATGTTACTCTTGTGAGGTGGAACCACAAGATTGGTTATAAGTAGATATTCCTTAGTAATTATGGTCTGTAGAAATGAAGGGCTCATAGACCATAATTGCTTAACGACTGTGTTGCTGTTGGTGAGACAGGAATTGCTCACGAGCAACATAGCCGAAGGTTGAAATGAGATGTTACTCTTGTGAGGTGGAACCACAAGATTGGTTATAAGTAGATATTCCTTAGTAATTATGGTCTGTAGAAATGAAGGGCTCATAGACCATAATTGCTTAACGACTGTGTTGCTGTTGGTGAGACAGGAATTGCTCACGAGCAACATAGCCGAAGGTTGAAAATGAGATGTTACTGTTGAGATGAAACCACAAGATTATTTAAAGTATTCAAATATTGATTTTAGAAATGTAGTTTATAAAATGTGACTCTTGTGAGAAGGAATCTTCACAAGGTTTTACTTTACCTATATGTATTTATTGGGAATGATGTCGTTGAGAGTAGAATGTGGTCTGGCAATGAAACTATGTTTTGTTACCCTGTTTTAAATTTGTACAAGATGATTTGTATTTGATGCTATAGTGACTTAACAAGCCGAATGTTAGGTTCAGGATTCCAATGGCTTGCGTGCATGAGGACATGCACGAGGTCAGGATGGACGAATGTTAGGTTTTATAAATTATATCAAACGATTATTAGTATTTGTCTTTAAAAATCGATTTGATTCGTTTAACTGGCAACACTTCGGTTTTCTTGAGAAATGTAATGGCTGTTAAGGCACTTTTTGGGGAGCTAGCATCAAAGACGGACATCTTGGTAAGTACGCATTGAATTCTGTACGAAAGAATAAAACATTACTTGTTCTGTTTGACTATTTGTTCTGTCCATTGAAATATGCAGGAAGCCAAGTGACTCTTGATTAAATGCTTATTGAAGGTAATATTGGAACCATTGCTTAGTCTAGGTCGCAATGTCAACTATTTATTGTGAGGGTAATATCGAAATATATATTTATAATTCTGTCTTATTGTTGTTTTACTACACAACGAACCGATACATTATCGCCATACAATAAAAAACTTTAAACGTAGCTTCTACTTCACTCTAATGTGGACGGAATACAAGTAAACCTCGTAGAGATTAGTTTTCATAGTAACTGGGTACAGAAATACAGCCAATTTCAATAATAAGGGTTCCTGTGACAGATTTAATACAACAGACATATCAGTCTGTTGTATGTCTGTCACTCTATTGTGGCTAGCGCAGCGGCACAACTATATTAAGAAGTCGAATAGATTTTACGGCACTTAATTAAATGAAATAAATTAATTAAAAGGAGTAATTTGGTACCTACCTACTCTAATTATGCTAGCTAAAATCACCGTTAAAATCTCGTTACACTGTAAAAATAAGTGAACTACTTTAAGTTTGTGTTTACCGATGAAACGGTAGATCATGACTCCTGTTACCTTTGTCTCAAAAAAAAAAGAAATTAAACCGAGACATTATAATTTTAGTAAGCGTGTAGTACATCATAATTTATTATCTAAAGAAGTCTATCTAATATTCGAGTAACGTTACTGCGTATAGAAACAACAGCAAAAAGTATGTTTTAGATAGCAGGTCAATGTACACTTATTTGTACTACTATAAATGTGTGTATATATACACACTTATGTTCAAATGCCTAGAGTCTTGTTAGTCTAGAGTCTTTAATTGATGAAATAATTATGTAAATTATTCTATAACCGTTTACTTAAAAGTAGATAAATCTAAATCAGTGATTTATTCACAGTTGAAAGATGTTGTATCATGTTTTTGTTTTTTGTTTTAATTTCTTTAATGTTTCAATTGCAAGTTACGCAATCGTCGCACGTCGTAAAAATACTATTAATTCATGTTGTTTGTGTTAGTCAAAGGCGCAATAACTGAAATTTCTATAATCGCAAAATGTATCTAGTAGGTCACAGTGAGTACAGCTCTTGTCCTCATTGTGGTTACTGCTAGCCACGCAATTGGTACACGAAATGCATTTATCAGCACATCAGCAATTACTGCATATTGTTTTAAACTACTCTAGAGATGTATTTTTTTAAGATTAATGTCCCTTGATGAATCGCGTGATTAATCCGACTTTTGATAGATCAATACAAATAATCGCAGAAAAGTAAAACATGCATGAAGGACTACGTAGCTCTAGTCTATTTTAACTCTTAGATGGTGGTATTAGAAATAAGATTTATGTGGTCCCTAACGCTGCACTAATTTTCGCCAGGCCAGACCATGCACTTAACAGATTATTTGTTCTACAATACATTGTGACTCTGTAAGGGAAGATTTCAACCGGCTGCCTGCTAACTTAACTTCAAGCTAAACATAAACGAACTATGATGACTAATAAGCCTCATAAGTAATAGTATATCTACAATACAAACAACATTAACTGTTAGCTGTCCAGAAAGTTTGCGATCCGAAATTTTGTTGAATTTTCAATGATTCGCAGTTTCTACTACATCGAATCGGGTCGGCATCGGCGCATCAAAATCCGCTCAACAAATAATTATCATGTTTGACACATCCATGATATCCTTACCGCGTTCTTTATTTTGCAGATTTTGATCTGTCTTGACAGAAATTTATCATCGTCTTTACAATTCTTTTTGGACTTCCTCATTTAATAAAGAAAAATAACTTGACTGTTAGGACAGACATTTATCATATGGTAGGTCTTAGAAACAAATGTGAAAAGAGTCAGTCCCAAAACGGGTATGGCATATTCTATTCACTGTTCTGCATTGAGTTAAACGAAATAGATCAATGCTGTTCTGTGGTATATTTCTTCAGTCTTTAAAGATTAGTAACAATTTACCTTTATCGAATGAGGCGCAGTACAAAGTGTCGTCCCATGTGGGGATCCACTTTTTTTGAAAAAGACAACTCCCGCAGTAGGAATACATTCCTGTGTCGCGGGGGACTTTACAAACATATATGAAACGGACACAAAGAACACCCAGACTCAGAACAGCAAATTGTTGATCACACAAAGTGTCGTTCCATGTGGGGTTTGAACCCACAACACTCGGTGCAGTAGGAAGCGGCGTGGCGACCGCTTAAACCACTACGCCATCCGTGCAGTCTAAAGAAGAAGAAAATACGATATATATTTTTTGCTTGTTAATTGAGATTGTTCACTACAAAGTATATGAATTCTAAAGTCATTACACGCATGAAAGATGACTGTGTCTTATAAATTATAATACAATGAGGCCGCTTTTGCTATTATGTAAAAGAGTAATCATTCGTTACCATGTCATTACTTTAATAATGACAATAAAATTTGAAACTACGTACATTGCCAAACTTACACACTAACTTAAAAAAGATTACTGGTCTTGAAATGTGCTAATTATTAGTTGGATCATA